AAACCGACCCATCCACCACGACTCTCTGGGTGCGACCCTCCAGCCAATTCGCCACCCACCGGACTGTGTAGTCATCCAAGTCACAGCCTCTTAACTTGTTCACCAGTATGGGGTGGGATACCGTATCGAAGGCCTTCCTGAAGTCCAAGTAAACGACGTCAACCCCTCCTCCTGTGTCCAGGTGTCTTGTAACCTGGTCATAAAAAGAGACTAGGTTAGTCAGGCACGAACCCGTGCTGGTTTCCCCTCAGCATAATTTGTCCTGCCGGGCTCTCGCAAATGTGAGCCTTGATAATTTTTTCGAAGACTTTGCCTAGGATGTAGGTGAGACTGACTGGCCTATAGTTGCCCGGGTCCTCCTTCCTCTCCTCCTTGAAAGTGGGGACCACATTGGCCCTTTTCCAGTCCTCCGGGACCTCGGAGATGCTTTAGTTGTGCCAGTAGCTCATGGCCTGATGCGGGAATTGGTGGGTGAAGTGTTAAGATTGGTGTTGGTCCACAGTGCTGAGCCCAGCCCAGCCCCGCTCTGGTCTTCAGTCCCCGGGTACAGACTGGGCACGGCTCCAAGCGCCAGCCTTTGCTTTGGTAAGAGACTCTGCCTCTGCGTAGCTTTCATTTCTGTTGCGTTCTTGGCATTGACGGCACACGCGGAAATCGAAGGCTGAAGTCTTTGGCCGTTGGGGGTTCTCTGCACCTTAGGAAGATGGGGGAGATTTGTCCTGGGTCCCGACGAATGTCGGAGAATGAGTGACCTTGATTTTTAGGTCCCAGGGACAGCTCGGGCTTCTGCTTCCCCTTCTCTCCCTCTTTCGGAGGCAGGGGTGCAGGTGACCTCAGACTGCAGCAGAGGGGAGGCTTGGATCCCAGGAGCCTTGGTAAAGCTGGTGTTGAAGAGGTGACAAACCGCCCTCTCCTCACCCATGGTTTTTGACTCTTGCAGCCTGCTGTCGGCCAGCGCAGGCTGTCCCTGTCTGCAGCCGAGGGAATCGCTTTTACATCTCTGATCGCTAACCAGTTTCATCTTCTGGCTTGGGGCCTGCTTACATCCCATCCCCTGGTCAGGGTGTCCAGTCCCCAGCCAGAGCACTCTAGGCTGGCAGCGAACCCTGCAGCTGTATCTAGAACGCAGGAGGCCATCACGGTGGTGTCTGAACCCGTTACTTCCAGAGGTGGGAGGTGAAGGGACAGCTGGAGCTGTCTGGGACACTGTCCCCGTGTGCTTCTGTCTTTTGTCTCAGCTTGCCCTTCCATAGAAGTACTGTCCCCATCTTATTTATGGCAGTAGGAATCGAGCCCAGTCTTAATCGATGTTTAGAGCAGTGGTCCTCAACCTTTTAGGACTCGAGGAGCTCTGTTATACTCAGGGTCCTCCTTGGAAAATGCCAGCTCTTCCTTTTTCACTCTTTGACTCCAGCAAAATACTAGAGCGG